TTTTCAAACTTTGTGTTGTAGTCAAGAAAAGCCGATAGCCATGTTATGACAGGATGAATCTAACCAGTGTTGAACCAAAAAATTTGCCCAACCACAAGAAGACAAAATTGTCTATTAGCATTACTTTCCACTGAATACTGAACTCTTAGGGTATGTCTACATTACCACCCTAGTTCGAACTAGGGTAGTAATGTAGGCAACCGGAGTTCCAAATGAAGCCCGGGATTTGAATTTCCCAGGCTTCATTTGCATAAAGCCAGGCGCCGCCATTTTTAAATGTCCACTAGTGCGGACTCTGTAGCCGCGCGGCACGGAGTCCGCACTAGCGGACATTTAAAAATGGCGGCACCCGGCTTTATGCAAATGCAGCCCGGGAAATTCAAATCCCGGGCTTCATTTGGAACTCCGGTTGCCTACATTACTACCCTAGTTCGAACTAGGGTGGTAATGTAGACATACCCTTAGAAGGTTAGTTAGAGCTAAATAACAGCACAGAACACTAAGAGCCAGGACTGGTGGCTGCAAACAAACTTTATGGGTCTGTGGGAAACTTCGCCACACCCATGATAAGAGGACATCCCAATAACTATAATTGTGCCGGACCATGGATATTGCTGGAACAGAGTGTGCTGGACTTGAGAGGTTCAACCTGTAGAGAGAATAGGTGGGTAAGACAACCTCTATAATTGGACCAACTTCTTTAGTTGTAAAAGACAGGCCTGCAGGAGAGCCCCTGGAGCTCAGAGGCTTGTCTTTTTCCCCAACAGGAGCAAGTCCCATAAATGATATTAACAAGAAGATTTTTTTCAGTGGTAGCAAAACATTGTACTGGGTCTTTTTGTCCTGTAGCTTCGCCTCTCCCTCTGTGATTGACAGCATCAATGCTCTATCACAGCTGCATCTCCACGTATGGGTCTGAAACAAGCCCTTAGCTCCAAAAGCAATTTCACCTGGACTTTTTCCATGTTAGCTTTAAGGGCAGTAAGTTATAGCAATGCTCTGGGCATTACTCTAGCTGAGGCTGAGTCAGCACTTCTAATTTCAACCTTGTTTATAAGGGTTTTAAAGGCGCCTGTAAAACTTTGCTCCAGGGATTGACCGTAGCCTAAGAGCAAATCATTCATTTATGGAGCGCTATTTGAAATAGGTCAGCATGGCTAAACAAAACAGAAGTAAGTTTTAAATTATTTACCCCAGCTACTTCTTATACCTGAAAGCACTTTACATTTTAAATCAACTTGGGGATGTTGTGAGCCATATAGCATGGACAAACAGATGCGTATCTTGAAAGAAGTAAACAAACAATGAAAACCATTGTAAACTGCCAGTTATTCTCTATGAGGCTTCTCTAAAACCCACTGGAAATATGCTATGGACTTCCACGTGATTAGGATCATGCTATATAAAAACAATGCTATTTTTCTATCTGTAGAAAATAGATTTTTTCCCCACTCATTTTTTCCCCAGTGGCATCATGATGGCCTTTGCTATGTAGCTGATAAGTGGCACATAATCAAAATAGTCCTGATCAAAATACAATTTAAGTTAATGGGAGTCTTTTCATTGACTTCAGTGGGCTTTGGGTCAAACTTCACGTACATAAGAACTTGCATCTTTAACAAATAAGCTTTTGCAAAAATATACTTAAGTACACCCCAAGTGCACAGTGAGACTGTCAGAAGTACTCTTAGCCAGCTGCACTCCCACTGAAGTAAAGGGCTAGGCCCATGCTGAAAGCTTCTGAAAATTTCACCCACCGTTGCTGCTAAATACCTGTTAATATAACAAAGAAAGTAAGTTTCCTAGAAGGATCTGTGCTTTTTTTTAAAGGGCGTTCCAATAGCAAAAGAAAAGTCCCTTTATCCAGAGAGACAAACAGCCCATAAAACGCTTCCCAAACTATGGACCTGAGTCCCACGGCCTTGCTCCTTGTAATGAAAAGCAAAAACAAGCTCCCCGTTCATATGTGATCCTTTTCCTGTCAGTTTGTGTAGTTTGTACTTTCTGCACTAGTGTAAATCACTACATTAGGTGCTAAACACTAGTGAATCAGGGATCGCTCACCATCGTTGAAACAGGATATAAAGCACGTCCATTCTGCACTAGGAGTGTTACTCGAGTCTGAAGGAGGGGAAGTGAAAGTTGATTGGTTCTAACAAAGATGCTATGTAATGTGTAGAGAAGTTAAAGGGAGACACTGTGCTTACCTCAGACAGCAGAAAAGATTCCCCATCTTTTGCCAATTTCCCTGGCAAATCATAGTGGTTTCTTAAGAACCTCCTTCAGACATTTAGAGCCAAATTCATGCTGAGTGAGAGCCGGTGAGCATCCACTGAGGGCTGAGCTCAGTTACACTGGGTCTTAATTGGGTTTGAGAACTAAATGCATTTCACAGAAACATGCCTCACAGTTCCAACCGAGCTTGCGACCTCATTGTGATAGGCCCTATACAAACAAGTAAGAGAGAGCCCTTGCCTTGGAAAACTTTATGTCTACATGGATGAGATGGACAAAGGAAGAACTACTAAGCCCATTTAACTAATGGGTACATGAAACCTAGAGAGATTAAATGATTCATCCAAGATCGCATAGGATGTCTGTGACAATCATGAACTAACCTTTATTTCTTGACTCCAAGACAGTGCCTTAACTGCAAGCCTCTCTAAACTTATTATAAAAGTCTTCTTACAAATGTAGGACTTGATCCTGCATTTCTGGAGCATGCAAAACTCCAGCATTAGGGGTACATACGGAATGTCGTATTGGATCCTTAACGTGAAAGAAAATTTGACTTTTGAATAATTATTTTCCATGCAAAGATGGAGAGTATCTAGGTTATTATGGACATAGGTGGCAGCGTCTTGCCTCTAGTTCCATGAAAGTCAACAGCAAATTCCCACTGATTTGGAGGATCCAAACCATGCCGGTTGTGCACACATGCAGTGTGAAATAGAATTTGCACCATGTAAACCAAAAGCCACTTTTGCTCTCTAATGAGAATGAAAATTCCATACGTGGCAAAGAGAAACAGGCAGATCTAAAGCCATTAAGCTGTGGAGCCTCGTGATCCACGTGCATGACAGGATATCCATCAGAGCTGTGCATTTTCTAATTGACACCATAGCTAGCAAATAATAACAAAAATTCAGTTGGCCTACAGATCCACAGCAGTCCTGCTGTGAAGGGGAACTGAGCTCCCTGTAATCCAGCTGTTGATTAACCTGTTGGGTATGTAACAAAAGATGTGCCTTTTCCCCTCCCACCCAGCCCCCTCCAAATTCCAGGCCATACCCTCTCCCTGTTTCAATCAGGTGGCTTGAGGGCTGTTGAACCCACATGTGTGAAACTTGCAGCATGCCACAGAGCATGCAGGCTAGATAGATCATCTCCCTGGCTTGTAGGTGACATCATTCTCTCCACTCCTAATGCATCAATAATGAAATTCAACTGGGCAGCAAGTCTCTCAAGGATGTGTGCGGCTTAGCAGGTGCAGCCCTAGCCACAGCTGGACTCGTTCACAGAGCTGGCCACTTGGAGGCTGCTGGGTTTTTCCTTCACGCCACTCCCCCTCTAATAGAAAATCTCATGTGAGACCAGCCTGCTTCTCATTAGTAGGAACCAGACAGAGCGAGCTGCCTTGAGGCAACGATGATGTAACACTCCCCATGCAGGGTATGTGTGTGCCCATTTAACTCTTCCCCGTCCGATTTTTAAAATGCTCAGCCGTGGGGTAACTCTGCTACTAGTGAAGTTGACCGTTGACTTTTATTGGAGCAAAAGTGTCCCATACCTGAGCAGCTTTTGAAAAGCCCACCCTTAAAAGTCAGGGGCTGCGTATTCTCTGTGGGGTTGGGCGTAACACACAGGACATTTCAGATATTTAAGAAATGGGTGTGATCAACCCAGTACCAAGTAATGTTGACACTTGCCGAGACCTTTTGCCAAGACGATGATCCACCACACCCAAAACTCCCACTGATGCCAATGAAAGTTCTTTACTCCGAGCACCTTTGAAATCAATCCTATAACCAGAAATATACTTGAATTTGTTCAATTTAGAGAGTTATTGAGACAAATGTATATCTTGGTCTTAAGTGTGCAGTCCCGGGTTAAAGTTTAAAACCCCACCCAAATTGAGTTAGGTCTACTGATTAACAGAACCCAACCTCAGCCAGTAAGGCCAGGCATTATACCATAAACCAATGACTCATGGCTCTCTTCCCCTTTATATTACATAATTATGGCTGGTAGTTTCAAACTTATCCAAAGGAAGCCATGAGGGGGAGGGGAGGGGAATGCAAAGTCTTGAAGAAACTAAATGGAACTATCATATAGCAACTTCATTAGAACCAATTAATTAACTTCTCCTCCTGCAAACTGTTGAGAATTATCCCAAGTGCAGAACCAACAGGACCGTAGGCCCCATTTCGGTGACCGTGAGCATCTGCGATGCTCCAAGGTAGCAGAGTTTGCGGTATCACAGGCTCTTTCTCTGAAGAGCTGTTCAGGGCTCCCAATAAGAAGGTGAGCCAAAGTTATGGAATCTGAACAGCTGTTTTCAATTCCTATCAAACCATTAGACGCTGTAGCTATTTTATCAATAATAGGGTTTGTATTGATTTTTGGTGAGCACAACAGAGACCCTTGAACATGGAAAGCAATATACTCTTTTTGATTTTTGCGCAGCATAGGGAGCCCTGTGGCTAGAAAAAGGAAAGAATACAACCCTAACCATATCTGTCACCTGCTTTCTGACGTCACAGTTTATAAAAAAATATTAGGTTGTGGGAGCACTGAAATTTTAAAAAGCTCTATAAAATGTCACAGAGGAAATCCTAGTCACTCTTAAAAAAAAGCTGTCTCAGTGCAGGATCTGTGAGTCTGGATAAATGCACATTTGAACATTCCCTTTTCAACCTTATTTGACTTAGTTGTAAAGAGGGTGCTCATTAGAATTCAGGGCTTTTTAGGCATTCTATGCCTTATTGCAATGGGACCCTGGAGGTCTGTTGTAGTTTTGTTCCATTTAAAATCATCATAATGTAGAGCTTATTGAAACTTACTGCAAGAAATTAAAAAGAGAATTTTACTAAACTCTTGTGTTTAAAAAAGGGAGGAAGGGAATCTCGCTACTGCTAGGTTCAGTGTGCTTCTAGTGGCTTCTGCGTCTCAGATCCTTAAAAATAGTTAGGTGCTTAGCTCCCATTGATTTCACTGAAAGCAAAGTGCCCCCTCAGTTCTAACGACGGGCGAGTCTACACAGCAGGGCTTAACTCAAATATAGCTACGTCAATTGTGTAGTTTGTTTCAAAATTGGGAGTGTCTATACAGCACATTTCGAAATAGAGCACTCTTCCTTTGACTTCCTTTACTCCTCGTACAATGAGGGTTACAGGAGTCAGCTTGACAACTCCAGCTTGATAACTTGACAGTATTTCAACATTATTTCAAAGTAACTGCCTGCTGTGTCGCTGTGGACTGTTATTTTGAAATAATGTTGCTGTGTAGACATACCTTATCTTAAAAGGGAGTTAAGATCACACAGGATGGGTCCCATGCATTGCGCAATCTCTGAGTGCTCTAATAGATTCTTCCATCTGGAGAAGAAGAAAAATTGTTTGGATTAAGTTAACCCAAACAACAATCACAAACAGTGGAAGGTTCCCAAATGGATCCTTTTGGATCTTTTGTCAGATGGCTCCTATCCCAGTTTATCTTGATTCATTATGGTTGGAATTTAAGGATCATCTGTCTCTAGCTGTGTTTACACTACAAAGAAAAGTTGGAAAAAGATATGCAAAGTGCAAACCGCAATTTGTGTATCTTTTTCTGCTTTTCTTTCTGAAGAGACTTTTCTGAAATTTGGTGCATCTACACAGCGTCAAATTTCGGAAAAACCTCCTCTTTTCGGCACATCCCTTCTTCTTTGTACGATGAGGTTTACAAGGATGGCGAAAGAACGCATCCACTTTTCTGAAATTTTTTTTGGAAAAGCATATGCATTCCTTGGATGTGACATAGCTTTTCTGGGATCCCTCTGGTATCCCAGAAAAGAGCTTCAGTTTAGATGTAGCCTCTGAGATAAAGCCAAAGAATAGTGTTGGCATGTGTGTGCTTAAATGGAGGCAAGCTAGAGATCTCTGCACATCACATCACCAACATCACTACAAGTAGATATTCCTAACTACGTTATCGTATATACCATAATGATACTGACTCTCCAAACTATTCGGCTATCTCTACACTGGCAGCTTCTTGCACAAGAACTCTTTTGCGGAAGAGTTCTTCTGCAAAAACTGTTCCAGACAAGAGCGTCTGCCCTGGCATGTGCTTTTGCGCAAAAGCATCTGTGCCAGTGTAGACGCTCTCTTGCGCAAGAAAGATCCGATGGCCATTTTAACCATCGGGCTTTCTTGTGCAAGAAATTCATGTTGCCTGTCTACACTGACCTCTTGCGCAAGAACAGTTGTGCAAGAGGGCTTATTCCTGAGGGGGAGCATCATAGTTCTTGCGCAAGAAGCACTGATTTCATCTATTCGAACATCAGTGTTCCCATTCAAGAACTCCCCGCCAGTGTAGACAGGCAGCATGTTTTTGCACAAAAGCAACCGCTTTTGCACAAAATCATGCCAATGTAAATGTAGCCATGCTGTGCTTTTACCATGGAAATTCATTTGGGCTTGCAAATTGGGAAGTTATATGTCTAATCCTTGTGCCTGAATTTTGCGCAGACAAATTCTATCGTGTCAGAAAATTGCAGGCTCTCTGAATATTTGGCCCACCGAACCTTATCATAAATGTGCATGACATTTGACTAGGACTATTTTTAAGTCTGCGATTTCCAGGTTTTAGGTCTGAGATGAATAATTAATGAAGTTTTGAACAGCTTTCTGAAAGGATAGTATCAACATAAAATCATATTATTGTTGGTTTTTTGTTTATTATATTACTGTGTTTTCCTGTGTTACTACTGAGATAATGGGCAATGAAAGTATATTTAAAAGCTTGTTCTAAATGTGTTTACTCATCTTGAGTTAACTAAGTCAGTTTTGTTTTCTAGTTATAATCATTGGCCCAAATTCTGCTTTCAGTTATAAAAATCTTAGTCCAGGCACTTTCAGATTTACACCAGTGCCTGAGAGCAGAATTTTGCCAAAGGCTATGTCTTCCCTCTTCCTCAAAAGCCTATTCAAATGAAGTTAAATTAGCATATTGCCACACTTCATTTGCATAATTAATTAGGAGCCGTTTTTGTGCAAGAGCCATTCTTCATTTTTTCTGGAAGAACAGCTCTTGGACAAGAGGGGGGTTTTGCGCAAAAAGGTGCTGTGTAGACGGCGCCTTTTTGCGCAAAAACCTCTTGTGTAAAAACAGCTCCTAATTAATTATGCAAATGAAGCACAGTAATATGCTAATATGTGCTTCATTTGCATAGGTTTTTGCAGAAGAGGAAGCTGTGTAGACATAGCCTTAGTGTAAATCAGTGTACTACTCATGGAATTCAGGTAGGTGCAATGATGGAGTAAATTACCAGTCAAGTGTACATTTATTAAATGTCAGAGTAGTGTGTATTGTATCTTGGATTTGGGGAACATGCAAAAAAGGTTAAACTTCCATGGTGAGGGAATGGATGGTAATAAGAAAGAGATTATCATGGGGGTGTGGTGTCATATAGCATAATCCCTACCCCAAAGACCTTTCTCCTGTTCAATATATGACACTTGTTTTGCACCCCAATTGGACTGCCACAAGATTTGCTGCTCTACTATTTATACCCACTTACCCTGCTTTTCAGAATAAGCTACAGCCAGGGTATAATTTACACCACCAATTCTATCAGTACCAAGTATCTTGGTCTGTATGTTTCTCATGCCACTATTGCCCCTATATGGAGTGTGTACCTTGATAAGGCAACTCCTGCAAGAAGTTAGGGCCACTTTCTTCAGAGTAGGAAAACTCTAGCTGAACTGTAGAGTAACAGTGACACCCAGCGGCCAGTAAAATTAATCCAAAGAGGGGTATTCCCTGCAGATAACCCAGGGCACATGACAATTGAGAACAGTCTTTTAAAGGAGGTACTCAGAATTGTTTCTGCTAGCTAGCCTTATTGGCTCACCACTCTTTATTCAAGGAGTTGTTCCAAATTATGAAGAAAACAGTTACCCTGTAAGCAATACAGTTTCATTTTCAACATACACATTAACATTGTCTTCTCTCCTTGTTCTTTCTTCTACAGGCCTTGAAGCCATCAAACCATGCCACCATTCAGAGCATCGTGAGAGCAGTTGGGGTCATCCCGGGTATACCTGAGCCTTGCTGTGTTCCTGACAAAATGTCTTCTCTCAGCATCCTGTTCTTTGATGAAAATAAGAATGTGGTGCTTAAGGTCTACCCCAACATGACAGTGGAGTCCTGTGCCTGCAGATAACATCCCTTTGCAATGTCTAAATTGAGCTCTTGCTTTTCCTTCACCCCAACCCCCACCAATGCATTTCATTCAAAGAGAGATTTATACACAAACCTGAATTAGAGAGGAGCTACTGAATGGAGAAGACTTCACTTACTCTTGAACCTGACTGAGAAATAAGCTTTGGCAACTGGGACTATTTCTATTGCAGTGTACAAACGAGAAGTGAAAGTTACAAAGGACTGTTCAAGATAGTTTTGAAACTGTCAGGAGGACAACACTGATTTATTTTTGTACCAGGCTTTGAAAATGGCAGAGACTGTTTGATTTTTGTCTCCATTCTTCTAATGACTAATGGGGGAAGAGAGATTACAAAATACATTATGTATTTGAAGCTATGCCTTGGGTTACTAAACCGCTCCGCAAGTGCTAAATAACCTGAACACAAATCTAACTTATCCTAAGAGACTTAGAAAATCCAACTTAACCATTTATTCCCTTGATATGACATGTCATTGACTTTTATGTATATTCATTTTTGTTTAGCTTGTTCTTCATAATACTGCCCCTGAGACATTCCTTCCTTCAGCGTAGGTAATGTTAAGTCACAATTATGCTGCATGAGAAGTTCTAATATCACTCAGAAGGGCTTTTCTCTCATGCCAGATACAGTGGGAAGCAACTGACCCCAAAGCCTAGCACAGTGATTTTCAACCTGTGGTCTTTGGACTATGCCTAAGAATTCTAAAAGAATTTGTACTGCCATTTGAAATTTTTAGGGGTCTGCCAATGAAAAATGTTGAAAAATCACTGGCCACCTAGCAAAATGCAAGTAGTATAGTCAACAACACAGTTGAGTGAATAATGAGCAAGTATTTTATCTGATGTCTGCAAGCAGTCTGTAAGCAACCCTAAAAGGTCTAAAAATGTTACATGAAATTTGGTGAATTCTTTATCTGTAATTTAATTCTTTATCTGTAATTAACTTCACTGATTCTTTGATGATCAGCCTTTAGTCTGGTAGTGTGTTTTGATTGCTTGCATAGGTCAGGTGGTATTGTTTCCATTCTTTTATTGGATACATGTTGCTTTTAGGATCCAGTCGCAAGTTCAAAATTTGCTCCGGGAGAGTTTTTCCTAATAAATACATAAAGTGTGGTATGTCCATGAACATTCCTTACTATAAATTCATTTGCTAGAACAACTAAAGAAAGCGAACCCTACGGACCATAAACACACTTAGAGAGCTTTCACGTTTTCTTGAAGGGAATATATTCATGGAAACATTTTTTAAGTATTTGCCTGACTCCACTTATGCACCATTTTGAGGCTTCTGAAGAAGATTCCTGTCTATCAAGACTGGAAAGAACAATCACTTAGTTAAACATTTAATTTGTTAAAATGCAATTCTTACTCCAACCCAACTTTTTTTTTAAACCCATCTCAGTTACTAACTGTGTGAAACAGCATCACTGATAATAAAATATTCACATTTCCTAACCACAGCTATTCTGGCAGCTGAGAGCTATATGGTTCCCACTGTATTCAAGTACCAACCAGCAGTTTTTGTGAGTAGACACCGACCTGCAGCTTCAGTGGAGCTCAAGGTTAGTTTGAAAATGATCGCTGATGATTTACTATTCAGTCATCAGTGCCATCATGTTTGCCAACTTGAAGTGTGTCTGAGGTATGGGAAGGCGCAGTATAGGATCCAGTTTTGTCACTGTTTTCCTAGGCAACGTTCCAGTTGAAATCTGTGGGAGTTTTGCTTAAAGAAAGGATTGCATATTAATGCCTGAGGGCCAGTTCGCTTAAGATGTGCCCTTTCATCCATTTCTCCAGAGGCCCTACAGTGGGTGATAGATAGACAGGAGAGACTCTCCTGTCGACTTCCCTTACTCCTCATGACTGCAAGGAGTTCTCGAGTCAACAGGGGCACCCTGGGCATTCGATTTAGTGGGTCTTTACTAGACCCACTAAATCAAACACCGGAAGATCAGCCTCCTCAGCATTGATACTCCATTTAGTATAGACATGGCCTCAACTTGCTATGGTCCCAAAGCTCAATCATTATTTGTATGAATTGGGACCAGATCTTCAGATAGTGTAAATTGATACCGCTCCAGTGAGTTTAACTGAGGTATGACAGTTTATACAAGGTGAGGATCTAGTCCCTAAAGTCTTAAAAGTGCAAGTGTTCTAAATCTTGCCTTACAGAGAGAATTCCAGAGAACTGTGAAAGAGAAATCAGGAGAAAGATATGCCCCTAGGACACAAACCAGGGATGTGCAACCCCTGTGTTCAATAAGCCAGGCATGTACGCATCTCTTAGTCTTTGAAGCACTTCCACGTGTGGCAGAAAACTTAATACTGAAATCGGGTGAGTCACATGACTGAACAATTGGAAAAATGCATGTCTTTCAGACCATGAAAGATCCTACCTTCACCCAGAAATTAGAAGATTCCTGAATTACTGCGGGTGGAAGAAAGGGTGTAAATGTGGAAGAGAGCCTGTGTCAGCATGAAAGGAAAGATTTTAAAGGACAGTTCAGAGCACCCAAGTGCCCATGTTCTGTGGGGATTACCTTGACCCTTTAATCATTTGGCATCCATTCAGACCACTGGCAGCTGACCATTGATAGCAGTGGACTCGGGACTGGCTCCTAGTGAATGTCAGCCCCTGCAGCAGTGAAAAGTAAAGTGTTTTTAAATAAGCTCCCTTGTAAAAAAAAAATCCATATTTTAGCCACAAAGTGCATCAGGGGTTGCCAAAACTATAAATCCTGACTAATTCTAGTCACTAATCATTAGAGAGACTGTCAGAAAGAAAACTGAATCTAGCTGAGTCAGGAATTCTGATACAGATTGAACTTCTCTAGTTCAGAACGCTGTGGCCCGGCATGATTTTAGTTAGCTGGATGTCCACTTTTCATGGGGGTGGCCAAGTTTCCCACAGGCCCATAAAGTTTGTTCACAGCCACCAGTTCTGGTTTTCAGTGTTCTGGGCTGTTGTTTAGCTCTAATTTACACCTACATGTCTTCTAAGAGCCCAATAAGCAGTGGACGTGTTGGAAATGCTACTAGACAATACTCACTTCCCCTGGTCTGGAAAATTCTCTGGTTCAGAACCAGTCAGGACTAGAGAGGTTCAACCTGTATTTTTCTTTGGGTTTAAGTGCCAGCTAAAGGCAAAACAGTTTCTTTCCCATGTAACATTGTTAGTCAGTAGGGGCTCAACTCTTTCTTGAAATATGCAGCAGCACTTTCCATTGAACATAAGGGGAGCCTTTCACCTGGACATGGGGGGGGGTGGAATTTGTCCTAAATTTGTCTGTAACCATTGTAATGTTTTTCCTTCTCCACGGCAGACAATTTGTGCAATACACTAGAGCAGGGATTATTTATGTACCAACCACCTTCCAAAAAGCCTGCGATTCTAATACTTCTCTGTCTGGGAATTGTTATGCAACCATCTCAGCCAATGCATCTATTTTTATTTTTTAAAAAAGCATTTGTTGTTGTTATTCAGGCACTGGGACTAGTTTATGCTATTGACTTCATTGACCTGGAATGGAGAAAAATACTTTTCTCTGGCCAGCCAGAATTTTTTCACAGAAGTTTGGATGGGGAGGGAATGTTAGAAAATTCTCATGCTAGAGTTTATATGTGCTGTGTGTGTGGTTGAGAGAGAGAGAGCATGGATAACAGATTCATGGGTCCAAAGCCTGCCACAGTGTGAAAAGCTTCTCGTCCAGTGCTGCCTAAATTATGCCTGCCTCAAAGTGGTAGCAGTAGGCCAAGAAACTCAGACTTTCACTAACGATGCAAAAGAAGAACATAGACTTTGGCGGCAATGTAAGGATAAACCAGGAGCCCAAGGCAGGAAAGTATCATTGTATCAGACGAAAAGGAGGGTAGGGCACCACAGGATGAGTTAAACCGGGAGGAGGCTGTCTTACCCAGGAGAGCCACTGTAACGTAACACGAGTTAAGAGCACACCTTTTATCTGCAGAGAGGCCATGTCTGTCACAACCCATTAACTCAGTCACCTTGCACTGGCAGAGGCATGTAAGTGGGAGGCACAGTCTGGCTGTAGCTCATGTGTTTCACAGGCTGCCTGCGAGCTTACAACACTTTCATGCACGTCTCAGGATTCTGGCGCAGGGTTCTAGCAGTTCTGGGCCTCACAAACGGCAAACGCAGCAAAACAGAATTCCTAGTTGCCACAAAAGTGCCGAAGCTGACATTGGCTCAAACACATGCCTGGACCTTAACCAGCTCATATTCAGCGCAGCAAGGAGTTGTGCTTTGAACTTGGTTATTGAGCAATCCATTGCCATGCCTGTCAAAGTCTGTGTTAGGAAATGGCTTTGATTCTCAAAGGCGACATCTATGCACAAGCTGCTCTTCAAAGTGCCATTGGAGTCATGGTCCCGTTGGCTTCATAAAAATATCACGTGTCAGTCTGTGCAGCACTGGTCAAATAATAGGCTTCCATTCACTATTAGTGTTACCGTTTGATGCCCTTTCTGGGATACTGGCAGTGTCCTGCCATTCTTATGTATGTGATGAGTCCCACTGCTTTGTAACAGACGTCCTATACACCACGACTTGCTGTCTGAGACTAATAGTGGCCATGTAACCGATTTCCCAGATGACAGTGGCAGGAAAATCTCAGCCTGGTGTGGTTGACACCCCAGTGACTCATTCATTGTTGTTAATGCTATAGGTTGCACCTCCCTAATCCAGCACTTTCTCGTCTGGTAACATCCGTGGTCCGGCATGATGTTAGTTAACTGAATGTCGACTTAAGGGTGTGGCCAGGTTTCCCACGGTCCCATAAAGTTTGTTTACAGGCACCAGTCCTGGCTTTCAGTGTTCTGTGCTATTATGTCATAGAATCATAGAATACTAGAACTGGAAGGGACCTCGAGAGGTCATCGAGTCCAGTCCCCTGCCCTCATGGCAGGACCCAGTACTGTCTAGACCATCCCTGATAGACACTCATTTAACCTATTCTTAAATATTGCCAGAGGTGGAGATTCCACGACCGCCCCAGGCAATTTATTTCAGTGGTTAACCACCCTGAGAGGTAGGAACTTTTTCCTAATGTCCAACCTACACCTCCCTTGCTGCAGTTTAAGCCCATTGCTGCTTGTTCTATCCTCGGAGGCCAGGAAGAACAAGTTTTCTCCCTCCTCCTTGTGACAGCCTTTCAGATACCTGAAAACTGCTATCATGTCCCCCCTCCATCTTCTCTTTTCCACACTAAACAAGCCCGTCTCTCTGTTTTCTTTCATAGGTCATGTTCTCTAGACCTTTAATCATTCTTGTTGCTCTAATAATTTAGCTCTACTTCACTTCTAAATTGCTTCTAACAGCCCAGTGAGTGGTGGAAGTGTTGGTAATGTTGCTAGACAACATTGACCTGCTGTGGTTCGTGAATTCTCTGGTTCAACACCAGTCAGGTCCTGAAGGTGCTGGACTAGAGAGGTTCAGCCTGTAGTACTCGTTCCAGCAATCCAGTCTCCACCACTCTGAAGTTCGAATTCTGTTCTCAGTAACTCAGCGTTGCCTGGTGTAACTCAGTGCAGAATCCCGAGCTAATTGATTATAAGGGCCTGAAACTATAACCCATGATTTATTTTTTAAATGTTGTGACTTTGAAATCAAGGGTCACATTCAGTTGATGGTGGAAGTGGTGACAGCTTCATGGCGTAAGTTAGTCTAAGGGGTGCAAATCTATTTTGCCTGATGCTCAACTTCCAAGGTTTAACACCACTGACTTCCAAGGTATTAATCCCAATTTGCAGTGGCCTAACTGAGATCAGAATCAGGCTGTAGGTTCAAAAATCAACCTGGCATTAGGAAGGACAAATAACCAACTCTGACACTTTCATACTGAAAGCTATGACTGTGCGCTAACAGATGTTGACATGCACACGCTGCAGTCACCCCCGGAAAGGCCTCTGTAGCTAGCCAGGTACAAGTGACAGATGTTTTGTGCACAAAACTTTTCTCCTATCTGTACCCTTCAGTAACAGTTTGTAATAAAGCTACATCTTCTTACCCATTTATTAATCACGTGCGCAATTATTTCTGTGTATAACTATGTAGCAATATGAACTTCAAATAATTTTCCAAATAATATTAGTTTTCTATTTTAT